TTGCAGGTCCAAACTATCACCGAAAAAACCAAAGGAGAGGAGACTAAGGAAAGGCCAGAACCCGTAGCCGATTTAGAAGAAGTAGCTTTGGAGGACTCCAGACCAGGTAGAACGATCAAGATAGGCAAAGGGTTAACAGAAGAGGTCCGCCTGAGCATCTTACAGACACTGAAAGAGTACAAAATCCTATTCGCTTGGGGACCCGAAGACATGCCTGGAATTGACCAGTCGGTCATCACTCACCGCCTATCCGTCAATCCGGCCACCCGACCAGTCATGCAACGGAAGAGGCACCTAGCGGCAGACCGAAGAAAATTCGTAAAAAAAAGAAGTTTCCACCCTACTAGAGATCGGTCACCTCAGGGAAGTCACCTATCCCACTTGGGTGACTAACGTTGTGCTAGTACCCAAGCCCCCAGCATGGAGAATGTGTGTTGATTATACTGACCTCAACAAGGCGTGTCCTAAGGACCTCTTCCGCTTACCACGAATAGACCAACCGGTAGACCAAATTGCCGGTTGCGCATTACTTAGCTTCATGGACGCCTTTCGGGGCTACCACCAAATATTTATGGAAGAACAGGACGAAGATAAAATGGCATTCCTGACACCTGATGGAGTCTATTGCTATAAGGTGATGCCGTTCGGTCTGAAAAATGCAGGAGCAACATTTACAAGGATGGTTTCCAAAATATTTCACAGCTTGCTTGGGAAAAACATGGAGGCCTTTGTCGATGACCTGTTGGTAAAAAGCAAAGAAGCCCCCGAGCACTCTCGAGACCTTAGAGCATGCTTCCAACTCATGGAAAGATACAAACTGAGATTGAATCCAAAGAAATGCGGATTCGCTGTCAGTGGGGGAAAATTCCTAGGATACATGGTCACACAGAGAGGGATAGAACCAAACCCCGAGAAAATAAAAGCCATACTGGATATGCAACCGCTCACCAACCTACTGGAAATCCAAAAACTACGGGACGACTGGCAGCCCTTAGCCGTTTCCTCTCCAAATCAGAAGAGCGCTCTCTACCGTTCTTCGAAGTGATCAAAAGAAGAGAGGGGTTCGAATGGACACCTGAATGTCAAGCATCGTTCGAGGAGTTAAAGAAATATCTGTTATCCCCACCCCTACTAGCCAAACCCAAAGAAGGTGAAACCTTATACCTTTACATGGCGGTATCGGAGCAGGTAGTGAGCTCCGTTTTGGTGCGAGAAGAAGAGAAGCTACAACATCCAATATATTATATCAGCAAATTACTAAGAGGGGCAGAAACCCGATATACACCCATAGAGAAGATGGTCTGCTCTCTGATCACCACAGTACGGAAGTTAGTCCAATACTTCCAAGCCCACCCCATAGAGGTGGTCACAGACCAACCACTCGCCGGCATCTTGAGGAGCCCAACTTCCTCCGGTCGAATGGTGAAATGGTCTATGGAGTTGACCCAATATGGGATTGAGTACAAACCCCGGCCCTCCATCAAGGCACAGGCCCTGGCAGATTTCATCGTGGAATGTACAGCAAGAGACCAAAGGGGGATAACAAGTGATTTCAGCCAGAATACCTGGTGGGAAATGAGTGCAGACGGAGCAGCCAGCACCAAACACTGTGGAGGGGGAATCATGCTAACCTCACCAGAAGGGTTCAAAGTATACTACGCCCTAGAATACCAGTTCAAAGCATCGAACAATGAGGCAGAATATGAAGCAGTGATCGGAGGCATACGGCTTGGGACCGCCCATGGAGCACGTAACCTTCGCATTCGAACAGACTCACGACTCGTTTTAGGACAAATCAAAGGCACCTTCGAGACCAGAGGGGAGAACTTGAGGATGTACAAGGATGTTATTGAAGGATTGCTGGGAAAATTGGACGCTTACGAAATACAACACGTGCCCCGCACGGAAAACATGAAGCTGACTTACTCTCGAAGATCTCCCTGGGAGGTACCCCAGGACACTTAGCACACATATGCAAGAGAGAGGTCACCCACGCGCCCAGTACAGAATCCCTCTTGATTGCAATGGTAGCCCCAGCAGGCATCCAATCCCCGGATAGTTGGATAGGAGACCTAACCAGATACATCACGAAAGCAGAACTTCCCTCTGATCCTGTACAGGCCGCAAAAGTCAAGCCAAGGCCCCCAGCCTACCAATTGGTAGACAACCAACTGTACAAAAGATCCTTCGAAGGACCCCTATTAAAATGCTTCCCGCCAAGCGAAGCCAATCAAGTAATTAAGGAAGCCCACAGTGGGATATGTGCAGCTCACCAGGGAGCAAACACCCTGGCCAGAAAATTACTGGTCCAAGGATACTACTGGCCCAGCATGACACAATATTGCATCCAAAGGATTCAAAGTTGCCATACTTATCAAAAGTTTGCAGAAAAGCAAAACCGACCGGCCACCTTCTACACACCGGTCACCACAGCCATACCCTTCGCTAAGTGGGGTGTAGACCTCCTAGGACCACTACCCCAAGCGCCAGGGCGCCACAAGTTCTGCATAGTCGCCATTGACTACTTCACTAAGTGGATCGAAGTCGAACCATTGGTAACCATCACTCAATACTAGTGTCGCAAATTCCTGTGGAGGAAAGTGATCTGCCATTTTGGCCTACCTGAGCATCTCATCACTGATAATGGACAACAGTTCGATTGCAAGGACTTCGCAGAATTCTGTGAAAATTATTCTATCAAGCACACCAAGGTATCGGTGGCTTACCCCCAGGCAAACAGCCAATTAGAAAACGCGAACAGAACAATCATGGATGGACTAAAGAAACGAATAGAAGAAGAAGGCGGTGCATGGGTCAACCAACTCGACCACACCCTGTGGGTTCATCGAACCACACCACGACGGGCAACCAGGGAAACCCCATTCAGCCTCACGTATGGGTTCGAGGCCAAGGTCCCTATCGAGGTCCTATGCCCACGAATAGGGTGCAACAATATGAGGATCAGGCCAATGAGCAGCTACTGCAACTAGAAAAGAATTTCCTCGAAGAGCGGAGAGACGCAACTCAGCATCGAATGACAGAATATCAACGAGCTGTGAAAAGATACCACGATGCGCGCGTAAAGCCTATGTACTTTGACATAGAGGACCTAGTACTCAGAGATAGACAAGCTGCCCTACCAAATCAAGGCCGGAAAATAGCCAAAAACTGGGAGGTCCCTTATAGAGTCTCGGCAATCATCATACCAGGCACCTATAAGTTGGAAACAATGGAAGGCAAGCTGATCGAGCGTATTTGGAATTCAAATCGCCTCAAGAGGTTTTACCAATAGCCCACATGACAGTTTCATCACAAATATTTTTATGTACTACTTACATTTACTAGTTTCGTAATAAAATATCTTTATTTCGGAATACACACCTCATGATTCGCGAAAACAGAACACATTACGACATCTCAAATACGCTAGGTCATAGTTAGCCCCGCAAGGGGCTAGCAAACTCACACCATATTCAAACCAACCTGAACCTCCCTAGAGTTCTTACAGTCGATCACTCCGGCTAGTCACCCCAACTGGTCAATTCGACAGATCAATAGCCAATTCATCCTCCCACAAATCAGCGATCCACCCAACGCTCGATGGACAAGTATACAACAAGATCACGCGTGAAGCAATAATTAGATTACAGTGAAACAAAATGAATGTGGCTATCGGGATAAAGAGCCCTACAATATCAGGTGGTGGAGAATCTAATAATGGGGAGTTAAGGGTGACGGGTTTAGTGTAGTATCTAGAGGCTCTAGGAGAGTAATCGGGTCGTTATAGGACATAGGGTCAAGTCTATAAGTCATTAGAGTATTAAAAAGTGTCAGTAAGCCATTGGTGGAATGGCATACTGATAGAGAACGGGAGACGTTCTCAAAAGTCTTTGGTGGATGGGTATACTGACAGAGAACGGGAGGAGTTCTCAAAAGTCTTTGGTGGATGGGTACACTGTCAGAGAACGGGAGATGTTCTCAATAAGCCATTGGTGGAATGACATACTGACAGAGAACGGGAGACGTTCTCAAAAGTTTTTGGAGGATGGGTATACTGACAGAGAACGGGAGATGTTCTCAAAAGTCTTTGGTGGATGGGTACACTATCAGAGAACGAGAGACGTTCTGAATAAGCCATTGGTGGAATGACATACTGACAGAGAATGGGAGAAGTTCTCAAAAGTCTTTGGTGGATGGGTATACTGACAGAGAACGGGAAACGTTCTCAAAAGTCTTTGGTGGATGGGTACACTATCAGAGAACGGGAGACGTTCTCAATAAGCTATTGGTGGAATGACATACTGACAGAGAACGGGAGAAGTTCTCAAAAGTCTTTGGTGGATGGGTATACTAACAGAGAACAGGAGACATTCTCAAAAGTCTTTGGTAGATGGGTACACTGTTAGAGAACGGGTGACGTTCTCAATAAGCCATTGGTGGAATGGCATACTGACAGAGAACGAGAGACGTTCTCAAAAGTCTTTAGTGGATGGGTATACTGACAGAGAACGAGAGACGTTCTTAAAAGTCTTTGGTGGTTGGGTGTACTGGCTCAGAATAGGAGACATTCTCAAAAATCTTTGGCAAATGGGTATACTGACAGAGAATGGGCAACGTTCTCAAAAAAAAAAAAAAATCATTCGACGGTTAGGCATACTGGCCAAGAACGGGCGACGTTCTCAAAAATCTTTTGGGCGTATTGACTGAGAACGGGAGACGTTCTCAAAAATCTTTGACGGTTGGGCGTACTGGCTAAGAAAGGGAGACGTTCTCAAAAGTCTTTGATGGATGGGCATACTGACAGAGAACAGGAGACGTTCTCAAAAATCTTTGGTGGATGGGCATACTAACAGATAACGGGAGACGTTCTCAAAAGTCTTTTGTGGACGAGTATACTGACAGAGAACGGGAGACGTTCTCAAGAGTCACTAAAGAACAATCGAACGCACAACCAGGAAATGCTAAAAGCGAAGACACAAAATGGAAAAGGGATCAAACAATGAACATAAAAATAGAAGAGTATATTAGAAATCGTCATTACAATACCCAAGCGATCAAAAAAAAAATAAAATTGCTACATGTCATATGCAAGGTAGGCAATAACATCCATTTGCTCGGCTTATCCTGCCAACAAAAATCATCAGCTCTTGGATCTACACTATTCAGCTACCCAGCAGAAGACACATTAGCATTAGAAAGATCCGCCAGCACCTGAAAGTTGGCAATCAAGTACAGATAATCATGGTTTAGAGGAATCTCTCACCGCTCACTCAATCCCTACGTCAGTTCAGAATCTGGAGAAAGACGAGTCAGGAGTAAAGAAAGCAGAAGAAACGCCAAATAACCTATAAAGAGAGGAGATCAAGACTAAGGGACTGACTAACCAGTAAGACAGGTGACTGGTCAGCCATCCACCCGATCAGACAAGCCTGCAGTGAGCGACTGGTCATCCAGCACCGACGGCGATGAGCCACCGGTCACTCTCCCATCACCCCTTTCAAAAAATTAAAAATGGAGGGGAAATACCGGAAAACCGCACCAACAATGGTGCCAGCTTGACCAGCTGTAAAAAGGACCTGGTCGGTCGCGGCGCGCGACCAGTCACCAAGAAAAAAAAAAAAAAAAACCCTTAGTGAATAAGCATGTTTTAATATGTGGCTCTAGTATTCTGTATTCAAAGAAACCAGGAAAGATAGTTGGTGCATGCATAGATACGTAGCAAAAAGAATGGCAGAAGCAGAAAAACTTCACTTCCAAACTGGGCAGATGAAGAAGAAACTACGTACACAATATTAAACAGTGACACTAGGCAAACACATACGTGAGTGATCCAGGGAGAGGATCACGGTTCCTGGCATTGTCTGGTCTGATCTCTGTCGTTGGCTACTCAACCGACCGCCGGCGGAGAGTAAAGGGAGAAAGTGCACTTTACCAGAGCCATATCATTTACTGCGGGTGGAAGGCTATTTCAGATTAATAGGCAGATCAATTTGTATTTGCGAATCACAATTTTGATGTTTAGGAAGATTGGACCATTGGAGGAGTACGGGCTGGTGAACCGTAAAATCCTTTGGCTATTCTGGATGCATGTACGCATCAAAGTCGTTGTATTTGTTGGAGAAGGTGATAGAATTCGAAGGCAAAACAAGAAAAGAAGATCTGTGTGAGAAGGAAAAAGCCAAGAAAAAAATGGGGGTGAGAACGAAACAAAGCAAGACTGATATACATATGGCCGACCTTTCTTTCCTTTGCGCTACTACCGAAATGGGTGCATATATAGTATATTATATGCGTGGGTAATTGTCCATAACTCATATTTAAGTTGCTTTGCGGGAGGAGGGCCTATACATATCTAAAATATATGTGCAAGGTCCGCTGGTTACTTTGCATGTGCCGTGTATGCATGTATATAAATTCAATGCTCCTCGCCATTCAATGTGATTCCTGTGTCTTGCATGTGCAAAAGCACATAACCCTTTAATTTGCCTTTTACCTTGCAGGTCATATAAGTAAATATATAATGATGCCCCTCTATTTGCGTGCCTTGGCATTTGTTTTGAAATTGTCGTTTTGTGAATTCCACATTTGACCAGCAGATCATACATATGAGACAATGGAGTTAATTCCAGCAATGGTCCTCCGACTATAGTGATTTTCCAAAATTAGTCCCTGACTTTTAATTTGGACACTTTAGGTCCCTTGACTTTCAATTTCTTTCCAATTGAGGTCCTTTCGTTAGAATACGGTTCATTAGACTTTAAATGAAGGGGTAAACTCGTCCTTTCACCTGCCTATGTATTATTCTTCGTATTTCTCCCTTCGTATTTCGCTGTTATACCTTGTAAACATCTCAATAATAGAGGAACGCACACACGAGTAGTCAGCAAATGGGGAACGACGAGGAACATTTTAGGGTTTCGACTAAGATTATCTTCATATATATCGCGTATACAATGGAGAAATACTAAAAATAATACATAGGCAGGTGAAATGATGAGTTTACCCCTTCATTTAAAATTCAATTAACCGTATTCTGACGAAAGGACCTCAATTGAAAAGAAATTAAAAGTCAAGGGACCTAAAGTGTCCAAATTAAAAGTCAATGACTAATTTTGGAAAATCAATATAGTCGGAGGACCATCGCTGGAATTAACTCTGAGACAATGGATTTACATATCCTGATCCTTTCTTTTTCTTAGCTTTTGTTTTGTATCTCTTATTATTATTATTATTATTATTATTATTATTATTATTATTATTATTATTATTAGTGTCATTTTACTATTGTTATTAGCAGATCAGACAATAATAATTCAAAATACTTTCTTAAGATAACGACTTCTCAAAATCTCAAGAAAGTGGAGGACTGGATGATTGATAATCAATCATTATTGTATGGACCATGGTCCACACAAATTGTGTAGACCATATTTTGTCTACTATAAAATAATGTACATTCAGTTCCAAAATAATGTACATTCAGTACAAAAATAATGTATATTGTATACAGGGGATATACATTATTTTTGTTCTGAGCGTACATTATATTGTATAATGTACATTCAGTACAAAAATAATGTACATTTAGTATATTAGAAATGTATTTTTTGTTATGGTCCACATAACATTGTGTGGACCATAGTCCATACAATAATTTGCCATGGATAATATACTAGGCATGAGCCACATGGACCGGCCCATGAAACGACTGGATCCAGGAAGCTCAAGAAAGATATATGATACGAAGCAACCCAAGAGTTTATGGGCATGTTAATCTTAATATAATTAGAATTGGACTCACTATCTCTAGTATAATAGAATTAGATCTCATTATGTAACTAAGACTCCCAATATGAGGCAGTCTAGAATTCTTATTCCTTGTAGGGCTCTAGGCCCAAAATATGTATAAATAAACCCCTCACACAGAGGAGTAAGGGGGAACTTCCAGATATTCACAAGAAATATTCATTAATACAAAGTTCCTATATTCTCTCCATATATTTCTCCTATATTCTCGTTATTCTAAACGGTAGTGTTGGCCTGCCGTTGACTGCCCAAAAGTCATAAAACCAACAGAATCTATTGAGACGTTGAGCCAAGATCTATTCGTTGTCGTTATGCCGTTGGAATCCATATTTATTGAGTAATTCCTATGAGCTTGTATCTATTGAGTATTCTTGAAAGTGTTTTTTTATTGAAGAGCTATTTTATTGACCATGTGTTCTTTTGTACACTCGGATCAAGTTGCTATAGTATTGAGATCGTCCAGTCTAGCATTCTTTCTTTGCTATTGAGCAATTGAGCAATTGAGCTGTTGATTCTAGATCATCTCTCTTTTATACCTTCATTTGGAATCCACTAGTGTTGATTCTATTGTTTTGAGATTAAATCCTTATTACATCTTTATTTGGAACCCGTTAGTATTGAGTTATCTCATTGAGATTATTCTTTGTGGTGTCCTTCTCTTGGAATTCGATCCATAAGTTTTGTTTCACAAGACCTTGTTGAAATCTTGGAAAATCTTGGAATTGATAATCAGGACTTTGGTTATAACCAGTAGTACCCTCAAGTTTCAAAGATAGAAACTTTTTCCTTTCTTCCTTTGTGAAGTCAAATTCCTTCAAATCAAGTGTACACCTATCTGGTGAAATCAAGTTTGTTAGTTCAGCAGTTGTCTCGTTTAGCCTTGTTGTTACCTTTGAAAAGTTGAAGAGTTAAAAGTTGAAAGTTATGAGAAAGTTGTTAATGTGATAAGCATAAGAGTTATGCTTATATCATGTTGGTGTGCTTTGCTTGTGTGATCTTTGCTTTTGAGAAAAGAAAGTTAAAAGTAGTTAGATCTTTTGTTGCGTAGAAGTGAAGTAGTAGCGTGCTTATTGAGCCAACCCAAGAACGTGATGAAGAAGGTTACTCCACGTGCGGTTTGGAGCCAGTAGTAGTTGTCCTTGCTCGAATTGATCGGCATCGACGTCTACAAGACCCAAGCTAACCCCAAGAGTTGAAGAGAATCTTCGTGCAGCTAGAGATAAATATGAAGAAAAGGAAGAGATTAGAGCTTAGAGACCGCAGTTAAAGATCCACAATTGTGGAAGGAAGACAAGTGTAAATGTTAATGCGACAAGAAGAAGTCAAACCCACCTTAGTAGATGCTTTTGAGAACAATGGTGAAGAGAATTTCAAGACTAAACTCGAAGGTTAAAAGTAGAAACTTGGAGCACCGAGAATTTGGGCTTAAAGTGGGATAAAACAAACATGAAAGTGATTTCATCTATCTTTGAAGAGATAAGAAATGGATAAGATAAGAGTTGTGAACTCCGGAAGAATGAAGTCTAAGACGATTGATAACTTTGGACTTGTGAGATATATGAAGGTGGGAAGAAAAGTTGTAAGACGTATGTTCTCATGAAGGGTGAAGAACTAAGAATTGAATCAAGTAAGAAATGAAAAGTTAAGGTGTAACACCCCCCAAACAAGACCTATATAAAAGCCTTAACACATGCAGATTAAACGACAAAACTAGCACAGCGGAAGATAAAACGAAACTGGATAAAAGAAATCCAACGGGGTGTCACGCCACGTCTACCAAACACGGTAAACGCTACGGCAAACAATCTGCAAGTGTATACATCTATCCCAAAACATCAGTCTAACTACATTGGCGCACAGGCCACAAAAGCAAGGATAAAGGTGCTAAGCTACCAGGCTCTAGACATCGTGCTCGTCTAAACATCACCTGAAAGATACAAAGATAAACATTGGGACGACGCCCGGTCAGCGAATAATGTTGGTAACCCACCAATACCGTTAAGTATCATAAATAGATAGATATAAGTCATAAAAACCATTTTCGAAACGGAATACATATATATAAGTCAAAACCAAGATCACTGTTAACACAAGACTCATCACTCTCAAGGATAACACGGGAACACATCCCAAACCACAAAGGTTAACCACACGCAAAGGATAAAGACTCACCCAACGGCAACACAAGCCTCCGTGACTACACACATCACGAGAGAAGATCACACAACGCCGGCTTTACAAGCCCTCGCAACATCACCCATCACGAGTTGGTATGCCTTCCTTATGCCCTGTTCCAACCTTATGGCTACCCCCAACCTTGTACCTTCTTTCCAACCATTACCTCCAGGACCCCTGTACTTCTTAGTCCAACCTTATTCCCCCGGGACCGTCATCCCCCACCAACAACCACCAACGAAAACCACCAATCATGGCAACACATGCCCGAATAACACATGTTATCCCCCAAAAACGTGGACCCATCACTCAGGCCACAACTCCATAATCACGTCACGGCCACCACGAGGACCGCTGCAATACCTTGGTGACTAGTGTCCCATACCACTAATCGTGCAATCCAGGTAGAGCCACACACGCACCACAACTCAACAAGAGTCAAACAACGAATCACAACGAAGGTATGAAACATACTCAATCAAGAAACGGGTCACAGCCCAACGACAACAACGATGGATAACACAAGTTATCATCAACCAAACGGAAGGTAAAAACAACACACACGCTAGCAATAAGACAACAAACTAGCATGCTTATCAACGGGGAAACTCAAGATAGTTCCGAGGAACACACAAGACACCTCTTGGTCCAACGAAACACAATGTTGAACACTTAGCACGATTCAAGACACCAAAGTCCTACATGGATACCTACCATATAGTTATAGACATACGAAACATCAAGAAGACACTCAAATAGTCCCATAAAAGAACAACGGGGAGTCAAAAGACCAAATACCGAGTCAAACAAATCACGGGGAACAAATCCCGAACGAACACCACCGTGTTCCCCGCGAGTGGACCCACGGGTAGTGCCCCACCCGTGGTCCCGCCCGCGGGAACACATCCCCACAGGCCTATGTACCCGCGGGTAGGCCGGCGGGTGGTGCCCCGCCCGCCGTTCCGCCCGCGGGAACATCCCTGTACCACAACAAATCCCTTCGGGGATTTTCTTCTCCAAACACAAATTCAAGTCCAAAACATGCCAAATCTTACCAAATACAACAAAATGACTTGAACCATGGAAAATGCCAAGCAATGGCACAAAGGAACCCTAAGCACAAGCTCTAGATATGCAATATCACAAGACAAATGCATAAACCCTCACATTTCATAGCAAAACACATGTAGAATCCAAGAAATCACATATAGGTAAGCAAAATAGGTTTTGTAGAGCATGGGTTACCTCTTGAAGACCAAAAGACTTCACTTTACACCACAACAAGCTCTCCACAAGGCTTACTTTCCAAACCCACTTCA